GCCAGCTCGGGGAGATGCGCGCTCCACTGTGCAAGATAACTCGGCAGAAGAATTGCGTTGCCCGCTTCCCATCCATACCCGTGCCCCTTCACTTAAAATATTAACCTCTTATTTTTTTTAAACATCCATTCAGCCACACACCCACACACACACGGCCTTCTGGGTGTGCATCATTTCAGCGGCATTTGTTCAACGCAAGCAACAGTGTCTCATCAATAGAGTCGGGCTGCCTTAAACCGATGCTGGGGAACTGGGAGATATTTATAGGCGAAAGCACTCTCTGTTGTATACGGGTCCTGGTTCGATGCAAAACGATATCATAGATAACATTATACATATTACGTTGTGTCTTGCGAGAGGAGATGGGTCCGTGGGTTTTTAATATCCAAGCAGAACTCCATTCCGTGTCTCCACACGTAAAGAAAACTAGTTCTTCGTCCATCAGCCCATTGGCTTTCCTGTTCAATATTGTCCAGCTGAGAACACGTAGGCTTTCGCGAGCAACCACACCGGTGTTGCTGTACTAGTAACGAATTGGAACGTTCGGTTTACGTGACAAACCTTACTAATTGGCTGTGTCGGGTGGTGGCGGGTTTAGCGACACATTTATATTTACGCGATCTAACCAAAACAAACTTGTATTATGGATTATCTAGCTGGATTGGTTTAAGTTGCCAGCAACTCGGAACCGGTTTCAACTTTATGGGTTTCATCAGCACAGCCTGTTGGCGTTTGATTTGAACGGGGATTGCATGGTTTATACGGAGTACTCTTGCCTCGAGCATCTGATAATCCAGCTGCGTATGTTTAACAACCTTCGAGTCTGCTGACGAGACCCCACCTACTCAATATAACAATAATGAACTAAACTTTTAATTTGACCAGCTCAGGCCCACCGAGGTATATAGCTCTTTTTCAGAAGCGATCTGGCCACAAATGACAGCTGAACGAGGTGGCTTGTCGTGTGGAAATGTAGAGCAGCCAAATAATCTGCACGCGTGTTCATTCTAAATGTGGAGGGGAAAAAAACGGAGGACCCAGAGAAAAAAGTCCACACAACCACGGAAAGAGAGAAACACGCAAACTCCAAATATACAGGTGTCGGGTTCGGGGTCAAACCCACGCCCTCCTACATACCAGGCGAGGGAGATAACATCTCTCGACCGTGGCGCCCTAATAATCATTTGACCACAATGTTGACTTGTGGGTCGGTGGTTTAAAATAGGGCTGTGCGCATCACCACAACTTCGGGGTGTGGTGATGTCACGTGACATGCACCACCACCGCGACCTTCACCACCACCAACCCAATCCTTAGTAGGTGTTTGTTCACATTTTACCATCGCTCGCTCGCTACGCGTGTCCGTCCCGACTGTTATGGGGCGAGGGGGTCAGCCTGGGTGACCCCTGGAATGGGGGGTTGGGTTGGGATAGGTGGGTGGGCGGGCGGTGAGAGGGCGGGGTGGGGAGGGGGTCTCTACCCCCAGCCCTTGACCCCTGTGACCTCTGGCAAATGTTGACCCATGAAAAATCAATTGCGGACGTCACCGAGTGACGCAGCTGCGGTGGGAGGCACGTGAGTGAGTGAGTTAGTGGAGCGAGCCGTTTGCACATAGATTGAAATCAGTTGGGGGGGCGGGGGGCAGGTTAACTTTACGTACGAGGAAGTCTAAGTTTCATGTTCTTCGTCATGATCTCATGATCACCATAGCCACAGTAACATCGTAGTCTTTGTTCGCAACATAATCATAGTCTGCGCATTGTATCGTCGCCGTCTCGAACAGCAGTAGCCATGGAATGATCGTGGCAATGTTTTGTTATCGTCATTTAAAAGGTTCATCGTGACCCTAATGATAGTAATTATGTTCAGCAGCATCGGAATCGTGACAATTTTCGTCATCGTCAGCGGTCACCCGACTTGATCTACTACCCACCGCTGCCTTCCCCGCCGGATCGGAAACGAAGAGGGCTGTGATTCTGCCAAGGGGGAAGTAAACCTCGAGCCCCCCCCCCAGCCACCCACCCCCCTCGCTCATGCAAATAGTGTGACACCCAACACGCAGCCGGCAGATTCTCCCTCCCGGTCACGCAGCCGCGTCCATTGACTGCGCTTCGTGGTCAAGCGACGCGTTTCGCGACACTTATTTTTTATTTTTACAAATATTTCACCAGGTAAGGCCACACCGAGCTTATATAGCTCTGTTTTCAGTAGCGATCTGGCCGCAAATGATATCCCAGTTAATTGGCTTATCGTGTAGAAATGTATAGCAGACAAACATACAATAGGGGCGCCTATTGCGCTGCCCCCCCCCCCGAGCGCACCGCTGCTATTGTGGCGTCACGTTACACCTCGCGACGGCGACACACAGAGCCGCCGCCGCCTTGGGCTGGTGGATCACGCAAAGATCGAGCCAGTTTTAGTCGTGCACTTGCTGGCGCACGCGCCTCCTGCCTGCGCGGCGATTGGGGAGCCGCGGGGGCTAGGAGATGTTAACTACCTCGCCTGGTGTACAGGAGGTCGTGGATTCGATCCCGACCCTGACGCCTGCTGCTGCTGTATATTTGGAGTTTGCGTGTCTCTCTCTCATCATCATCACGGTGGCTAGGAAATGTTAACGACCTCGCCTGGTATACAGGAGGTCGTGGGTTCAATCCCGACCCTGACGCCTGCTGTTGCTGTATATTTGAATTTGGCGTGTCTCTCTCATCATCACGGTGGCTAGGAGATGTTAATGACCTCGCCTGGTACACAGGAGGTCGTGGGTTCGATCCCGACCCTGACGCCTGCTGCTGTATATTCGGAGTTTGCGTGTCTCTCTCTCATCATCATCACGGTGGCTAGGAGATGTTAACGACCTCGCCTGGTACACAGGAGGTCGTGGGTTCGATCCCGACCCTGACGCCTGCTGCTGTATATTTGGAGTTTGCGTGTCTCTCATCATCATCATCACGGTGGCTAAGAGATGTTAACTACCTCGCCTGGTATACAGGAGGTCGTGGGTTCGATCCATACCTTGACGCCTGCTGCTGCTGTATATTTGGAGTTGGCGTGTCTCTCTCTCATCATCATCACGGTGGCTAGGAGATGTTAACTTCCTCGCCTGGTATACAGGAGGTCGTGGATTTGATCCCGACCCTGACGCCTGCTGCTGTATATTTGGAGTTGGCGTGTCTCTCTCCACGTGGTCGCAGTGGATTTTTCTCTGGGTCCTCCAGGTTTTTTCCCCTCCACATTTTTAGGATCAACGCGCGTTTAGAGTATTTGGCTTTTGTACATTTACACGCGATAAGCCACTTCGTCGAGATATCATTTGCGACGAGGTCTCTTTCTGAAAAAGAGCTACGTAGCTCAGTGGGCCTTGCCTGGTCAAATAAAACAATTTATATAGTTTCATCATGGCCCTGAGTCCCGCTGTAAGATTACAGGTGCTTTGGAAATTTCCTTCGCCAGAAAACCTCGCAAGGCACGTGCTCCCCCCCTCCATCTGGGATATTCCCACACTCCCTTGTGCCGATGTCACGCCAACCCACGCAGGAGTTTCCACACCAGGCGGTGGTGGTGGGTGGGGGGAGCGGAGTCTGTGGCGAGCCCCACGTCTCGAGACTCTTTGTACAAGGGAGTTTCACGCGCCGTGGCGCCGGGGCAATTCCCGTGGGTTGTCTGTCAAGGTGGCGTTGTCGCGTCTGCGTCAATTCGTGCGCGGCATTGACATCGAGACACGGTTAGAGATGGGAGAGATGAATTACCGAGGCTTTTTCTACATTTACCTTCGACTACTACTTACTGCTGCCCCTAGCCGCTGGGATCACAGGCATCCACCAACCACCAACCAGGCAGCACTACCACCGCCACCGGGATCATCACCATCATCATCATCAACATTATCATCGGCTATGTTCCATCCACTGCTAGATGAAGGCGTCCTCAAACCCGCCGCCGTCCCTCCCCCGTCTCAACAAGCAAACAAATAAAGCCCTGGGCAAACACGGGGAGCCGTGGGGCTTCCTCCTTGCTCCGCACCCCACACCCCGCGATGTGTACTCTCCGTACAGTGAGCGACGGAAATTACCGGTGGTCGTGTCAAGGTGATGTTTTCCTTTCGTCTCTGAACAGCTGCGTGGGTGGTTTAGGGGGTTGGTGGTGTTTTAATGTTTTTCAAGGTGTACCCCAAAACAAGGTTTGTGGGGGGGTGTTAGTGCGCGCTTTAACAAGTTGTACCCCAAAAAAGGTTTGTGGGGGGGGGGGGGTAGTGCGCGCTTTAACAAGATGTACCCCAAAACAAGGTTGGGGGGGGGGGTTAGTGCGCGCTTTAACAAGATGTACCCCAAAAAAAGGTTTGTGGGGGGGGGGTTAGTGCGCGCTTTAACAAGTTGTACCCCAAAAAAAGGTTTGTGGGGGGGGGGGGTGTTAGTGCGCGCTTTAACAAGTTGTACCCCAAAAAAAGGTTTGGGGAGGGGGTGGTACGCGCTTTAACAAGGTGTACCCCAAATGAAGGTTTGGGGTGGGGGGTTAGCACATGGTTGGAACTTTTAACAAGATCTGCCCCGACTGTATTGAGGTGTGAATTAACAAAGTGTACCCCAAAAAGCAATTAATCCGAACGAAAAAAAAACCCAATATTGTATACAAAACAATGATGCCGTCCTGTGGAGAAGATATGGGTACCGACATAAATAGCATGGAGACAGAGTGCTCTTGCCAACTGCCAACCCGAGATAATTTATTTAACAAGCCTCAATCTGCTGACGAGCCTTAGAAGATCGAACCCGGTCCAGGGTTTTCTTGCTTTTAGACACAGGTTGCTTGCTGGATAACATTTGGGTCCGGAAAGCCTGGAGTAGGCCGATGACGAAATCTTACGCGCGCATGTGGAACTTCTTTCACACCGTACGTTGCCCACCGTGCTAATCGGAGGTAAACTCGCATTCGTACCGACGTGGAGACACCAGCGGGCGAGGTTTGAGGCGGGGGGACGAGTCTGACGATATGATGTCCCGCAGGTGCCTGGACTCGGGGTTCGTGCTGGAGACCCCCGTTGCGTGAGCGAGTTGGGGGGGTCATGGACGCGGCGGTTGTGGCGGGAGGCACGGGGGCTGCGTGGACGAGGCACAAGGTGAGCCGGATTTGACGGTGATGACTAAAACAAATTAAAGTACTTTTTTTTTTTCACCAGGTAAGGCCCACGGGGCTATGTGGCTCTTTTTTTCAGAAGCTTACCTGCCTATCGCAGATGACAGCTCGATTAAGTGGCTTATCGCAACGGAAATTTGTAGCAGCCAAACGGTCTCAACGCACGTTGATTCTAAATGTGGAGGGGAAAAACTGGAGGACCCGGAGAAAAATCCACGCGGCGTCAGGGTCGCGATCGAACCCACGACCTCCTGTATACCAGGCGAGGTAGTTAACATCTCCTAGCCACCGTGATGATGATGATGAGTGATGGTGTAGCTGTTAGCGCTACGCTGCGCGACGGACCCGGCGACCCGAGTTCGATTCCCGCTCACGGTCACCAACGCTGGTGACGATTATCTGAACCGGTCGTGGGCCTCCCCTAGGTCGCCTCGGCCTCGGCCTCAAATTTGTACCTCGTGCGATGTGTAAACATCGCCACTGGGGAGACAAAGGCGGCCGGGCGTGGTATTGACCAGCCTCGTGTGCCATGCCGGCCTTCGCTAACAGCACTTGCCCCAACAGTTTGTTAAAGCTATACAGGGGATCTTTGTCTTTGGTAGTGACGGTGATAATTAAAGGAGGTGTGGTAGAGAGGGTGCTCGTAGTGGTTGTAATAGACGTGATGGTGGGGATGGAGAAGGTGGTAGTGGTGGTGGTGATGACAATCGGTGATGGCTGATACCAGTGATGTTGATAGCGATGATGATCGACGGTGCTGACGATTTTCCAATGACGTTTCATTGAACGATGACCTCATTGCTGCTCCTATGCTGATGATTCCTCCCCCTACTCCGATTCTAACGACCCCTTCTCACACTTCGCCTATTCTTCGTCTGATGATTATGATGACAACGACGACGACGATTCCTCCTCCTTGTTTCTCTTGCTTCTTTGCTGAAACCGACGTTGATGACCCCAACATCATCATCACCATCTCCCCCTCTGCACCACCGGTCCCCTTCAGCAGCAGCAGCAGCAGCAGCCCGACCACGACCTGAGCCACCTGTCGAGCGAGGAGCGCGAGTGCCTGAGTTTCTTGGACAGCGCCATCAGCTCGGCGGGCGGCTCGGACTATCTCGAGGAGGCCGGTTCGCCGGGCGACGAGTGGGACAGCGCCGCGGCGGGCGGCGCGACCCCGTGGCGGGTCAACGGCGACGACGCCTGCCACGTGGCGGGAGATGCCGCGTCGCCCGCGGCGGGCGGCCAGGCGACGCCCGGCCACCAACGCGGGGCAGCCGGGCAGCAGCAGCAGCAACCGCAGCCCCTGCCGCGCCGAGTGATGACCAACAGACCGCTCGTCCTGCCTGAGCCCCCTTCTCCGGGACCCCAACACTCGGGGCCCCCTTCGCCGGGGTCGCAGTCATCGGGGCCCCCTTCCCCGGGGTCTATTTCTTCGGGCTCGTCGTCGTCGGGATCGCAGGGTTCGGGGTTCCTGTCTCTATCGGTCCCCTCCTCGGGGCCCCCTTCTCCGAGGCCCGACTCGCCCCTCTCGTCGCCGCAGACACCCCGGCCCGGCACCAAACCCCCGCTGCGCATCGCCCCCGCGCACGGGAAAGGATTCAACACCATCATCAAAGGTACCTCCACACTTGCGGGCGTGCGTGCGGTGGTGGAGAGCGGTCGTCGTAGCGATTGCCGTGCTGTGCTACGAACCCGGTGGTACGAGTTCGATCCCCGCTAGCGGTCACCAACACCAGTGACCATTATTTGGGCCTCCTCTCGGTCGATTCAGCCTCAAATGCTGCTGCTGATAATAATAATGATGTAATTGCTGCTGAGGACGATAATGATGATACGGATGATGATGATGAAGCCATTGCTACTACCGCTGTAAAAGATGATACTGTTGATGCTGCTGCTTGTGCTACTCATCGTTATTCAAATGATGATTATCAAACTGCTGGCGCTGCTGTGGATAATGATGCTGCTGCTGATGACGCCGATGACCATCCCTCCTCGTCCCCACGCAGCCGGAGTGAACGTCACGAAGAGGCGCTCCATCATGCTGGCGCTGCTCAACGGAGAAAACCAAGCCGACGACTCCGGCCCAGGGATGGGGTCGGGTCCCCCCGCGAACCCAAGCGACCCAAACCCGGCGCCGAGGTCCCGGAGTCAGCGCGCCTCCCTGCAGCCGGGGCCGCTCACCGGGGATTCCGGTTTTCCCTCCCCGCGTGACCCGGCTTTCCTGAGACCCCTCAGCCCCGGCCGCCTACCCCCGTCGTCGGACCCCGGCTCGAAGCCAGGCGGGGCCCAAGGGCTCGCGAACGGAGCGGTGTCCTCGCCGCAGCGGAGGGGTTCGGAGCCCACGACCAAAGACCCGCGGTGGAAGCGGAATTTTTTCAAGATTTGAGGCGGCTCGGAGGTTCGCAGATGGCCGTATCGGGGGGACGCTGAGCCTTCCCCGCCGTGATGTCGCGGCCAAATCCGAGGTCTTGATTTCGTAAGAACCGGCACGGACTAGGCGGTTACAAATGAACTGGGAGAATAACATTGAACAGCAGGTAATAGACACGCGCCGCGCGGAGTGAACGCACAAAGTGGCCGATTTCTGTTAAAATGACCGTCGCGACGATGGCAACGCTGTTCAGGAGCGCCTGATGAACGGTTGATTTTGTTGAACCGGGTAGAGAGAACTCTGAAGAGAGCGGGAAAGAGTATCGCTTGCGAGGGTAATCTGTGTTCACCAAAGTTGACAAAAGCCACAACTTCGAGGTCAAAGTGCAACGACTAAACGTAAAAACAACGGCGTGGCGGAATAAATCGAAAAACGGTGCACAAACAGAAATCAATTTTGAATGTAATAAACCTGCAGTACAACAACACATTCGATGTCGTGTATCGTGAGGATGGCCTCGACAAATTATCTTGAAAAGCCACTCAAGTTAAAATGAAGTTTCAATCTCCTGACCACTAATAACTCACCTGGCCTTCCCCCCACGAGTCGCTCAACCGCGTGTCGTTGCTTAGTCCTGGCGGCTAAACCCGCCGGCAGTGCCACGCTTCCCGTTGGGCACGGCGCGATGGGCACTGCCCCGGCCTCTGTCTGGCTACGTTGTCCCAGATCCCTCGAGTCACCATCCGTAGCGAGGGGCTGCCATTCTTAGCTCATTCTTCAATAATCTCAGCTCCACCACGAGGACCAGGTGCCATCTCAAAACTCAGGTTCCTTCAAAGTTCTCGGGTCACTCGATGTCTCCCCATGTCAACCAGGAGGACTATGGCTGTTGTTTCAGGCTCCCCAAGGAACCCTGGGTTCTTCAGGAATGTCAGATCTACAAAGAGGCCAGGATACCAGGTACCTCCAAACAGAAGGTCCCTCGCGGATCCGATCTCTCTCAAGAGTACCGAGTAGTTATCCGGGACCCTTCAGAACCTCGGCTGCCTCCGTAAGGTTCTAGGTCTTTCACGCAACCCAGTTCCACCACGAGAACGCCGGTATATTCTACAGGAGGACCCATGCCTAAAACGTTTACATTCACACAACGGCAGAATGGGGAAAAAAATGTATCCTACACAACACCAACACGTTGATTGGACCTGAAGACTTTCCCTCTCGATACTCATGAATACGTGCTGGACATTCCACATTCCTATGGCAGTGGCTAGTTTATATCGACTGGACAACAAACTTCTAACAAAGTTATACTCGTATATATTTTAGTAGTTAGTGTGTGGAATTAAGTAATAAATTAGACATCTTTGCAAATTCACCGCTGGATGAAGGTCTCTCTCCCCTCCCCACGCTGAAATGGTCACGGGGGGGGGGGGGGTTGGGGGGAGGAGGAGATGGATTGTTTGACCGTACTTCACCACGCTGATTTAGTGCGGGTCGAATAAGAAGTGGTGGGGGTGCCGGGATCGGTTTGCACGTCGCTCTGAGCCACCGATGTCAGCCGTGGTGACCACGCGGCCCCCTGCGTTCGCATTGATTGGGCGGGGGGGGGGGCTGCGGTGACATGGCCAAGCCCGCGAGATGTCCGTACGATGTCGCGGCGATCGGATCGTCCGTATCGTATCGTCCGTACGATGTCGCAGCGATCGTATCGTCCATTCCGCTAAATGTCGTGATTATCAGTCCTCTTTGTATCCTTCCAAAGAAGAACGTCTTCTACTCCCCGACCAATGTTACGTTCAATGAAGTAAGAAAAAATGTAAGCTTAATTAGACATAATGCAGGTTAAATATTTTGTATTATTAATAGCTGTTCCAAAATCTAGTCTATAACAATGTGCGATACAATAGTGAAGGTAACGGAAACCGGCATCGCGATAAATTATCGAAACCGTGAAAGTTGATGTCGGGTATCGCGACCGTCGTATGTGAGCGGTCTGTGAACCGGCCGCTAAAATCCCACCGTGCGCTAACCGCCGCGCCACCAATCCGCCAGAACCACCACAGTGTAGAATACTGCGGTTAAAATACAGTACGAATAACTTTATTATCATGGGCACAAAGGGCGAAGGGGCAGTATTATTGTTGTTGTTGTTTGTGTTAAGGATCGCGTTGTTACAAAGGAGCTACCTGAACTTAGAGAATTCCACAAATGCTTGGGCCGTTCTCCAGTTTCTCGAGGGAGCCCACGTGTGTTTTTATTTTAAGGGATGACCTCCGTCAAACACTGCACGTGGGTGACCAGGTGACCCGGTCCTCGTGTTTCCAAACAATCCACTGCTGGATGAAGACCTCCCCCACACCTTGTTGGTCATGCTCGGTTGTTTGACCATACTTCACCGCAGCTTGGGCGAAGGGTGGAGTTGCGGGCGGGGCGGACGCAGGACCGGTCAAGATATTTATCGCCACTGATGGTAGACGTAGGCAGGAGTCGAACTCTAGGGAGCCGGGTTCATAGCGCAGTGCGCTAACCACTGTGCCACCGCTCCGACTCCAAGGGTGACCGCTTCCTGGAGCAGCGGGTGGAGACGGGGGGCGAGGATTCGCCGCCTTGACCACGACCGATGCTCCAAAGCCTCGCTGAGTCTGAAGACAATCAGGAGGGACCTGCTACATTGGGATGTTTGGCTAATACCATTGCGGTATTGCTCACAGCTGCCCTTATTTCGCATTGTCATGGCTGCGCAGATTTCCTTTTTTAATTTTGGCTGCGTCAGTGTTTCAGTTTTGTAGCTGCGCAGATTTGTTATTGGTAATGACTGCGCGGATTTCTTCTTGGTCGAGGCTGGGGATTTTATTTTTATGGCTACGGCAGATTTTTTTTTAAATGTGCGTGGCTGCGCAGATTTCTTATCTCTTTGGGCCACACGTAATCTTCTGGGGGGGATGGGGGGGGGATTCCCGTGCTGCGTGGATGGGGGTTTTATTTTCATATAATGGCCGTGGCTGCGCACATTTCTAAGTGGTGTAGTATAGAAGCACTGGGGCGTGTAGTGGACCCGCGTGACCGAGTGGCCCGGTTCACAATGGGGCCAGCACGCCGAGCGATGGAGTCTCTGGGACGCCTCTCAAGGGGTGGTAACGGGCGCTTGAGTAAACATTGTTAACCCACGAGGGTGGGCGGGAGGAGGAGGAGGGGGGGTATGGGACGCGAGATGCCAGCCGCCGGCGTGAGACCTTTGAGACCTTTAACAAAACAAAAATGCCAGGTTTCAGCCACCTGTGATTACACCCGGTACTCAAGTGGTCAAAAGACCCACGGGCTCGCATAGAGACCCACAGACTCCCATAGATATCCACGGACTCGCATAGAGACCCACAGACCCGCATAGACACTCACTCGCGTAGAGACTCACAGACTCGCATAGACCCACAGACTCACATAGAGACCCACAGACTCACATAGAAACTCACGGACTCACAAAGACACTCACTCCCATAGAGACTCACATAGACACTCACTCACATAAAGACTCACAGACCCACATAGCAACCCACAGACTCACATAGACACTCAGACTCGCATAGAGACCCATAGACTGAGTTGTTATTAAACCGAGTTCTCAAGTGTATTTAGTTGATGGTCTTCCGCCCGGTCACAAATGACTGCACAACAACAAAAAATACATTCCTTTTTAGTTTGAATTTAATTTGACTAAATTCTAGTTCTGATGATTAAAACATCACCTTTGGCCGTCATCCAACAAACATTACTCTCACGCGCAGAGCGGGAGGGGAGGTTACTGTCCCCCACTGTGTGCACCAAAGAATCACTTTGAAGGGTTCCCGGAGGTGGCTCTGAGATGTCCGCTTCCGTGGGGCATTCGCCAAACCCCAAACGGTGGCACTGCTCTGCGAGAAGATGCGAATTGGAGTCGCCAAGGTGGCTAGGAGATGTTGACTTTCTCACCCGGTATACAGGAGGTTGTGGGTTCGATTCCGGCCCTGACGCATGCTGTATGTTTGGAGTTTCCACGTCGCTCTCTCTCTATCTCTCTGTGGTCGCGTGGATTTTTCTGCGGCTCCTCCGGTTTATCCCTCCACATTAAAGAATCAACGTCACGCGTTTAGAGTATTTGGCTTCAATAAATTTCCACGTAATGGCCCACTCCGTTTGTGACCAGGTCGCTTTTGAAAAATAGTTTTATAGCTCCGTGGGCCTTACCTGGTACAATATAAAAAAACAAAAGTAGTTAACATTATTCCTCACCCCCTACCCCTTCACCAACCCAAACTCCAAAGTGGTGGTGAAGTATGGTCAAAACTCCAGATTCCTGTGAAATGACATGAAGAGGCCTCCATTGGTGAATCGAGAATGGCTGGAATATTTTTTTTTTTATCGAGTATAAGTGTTTAGAAATAAGCAGTCTACCGCGTAAATCGGTATGGTATCGTCTTACCACAATCCAGTACTCATTTCATCAACCCCCAGAGAAATGATGGGGGCAGTCGGACCGCGACCGCGATTCTAACTCGCACTAACCACTGCTCCACCTGTCCGTCATTATAAGTATGCTAAACATGTACATTGTATAACTTGTGTTCTCTATTGGAGAATAAAAATAAAATGACAACTGACGTTTCAATTTACTGGTAGGAACCTCCTGGTTACACCAGCGCACAGGGGATTATTGTGTCCGTCGTGCAGGGAGGGGCTGGGTGGGGTGGGGTGGGGCTGGGTGGGGAGGGGCTGGGTGGGGAGGGTGGGGAGGGGTTTGTTGGGGAGGGTGGGGAGGGGTTTTTTGGGGAGGGTGGGGAGGGCTGGGGCTGGGTGGGGAGGGGTTGGTCACCCCGTGGTGCCCTTATAAAACTCAACGTTTAACCTACTCACGCCGGCTTGTGCCCGCCCCACAGTCGGGCATATTTGCGGAATACGCCACGTCGCCGTTGACCGTGGCCATTGACCGAGCAACCCAACGTTCCTACCAGCTCCCTCCGCAGGACAATGTGTTGTGAGTCGCCAATTTAAGGAGTGAAGCTGTGATGACCCCACGTGGCTTGACCGGAAGTGTCGCCTATTATATAAATTCTCTTTGGGTCTTTCGGTAAAGTCACGTAGATAGAAAATAATAATAAAATAAATCACGACGTTACGATCGCAACACAAGCAAATCGTCTTCAGGTGAAAAAATACAGCAAGGCGCACTGCTGAGGCAGGAATAAATACAGCTACATTGTATTATAGCTACACATTATATACATTGTTTACTTGTTAAGGGGCCGTCCATAAGTGACGTAACGCACCTAGAGGGGGGGGGGGGTCAGACATTTGTGACTATGTGTGACGAATGGGGGGGGGGGGGGGGTTTGAGAAACATGACGTCACATCAAAATGCGCAACTTTAAATAAGTATAGACAACACGTTCTACTTAATTAAATATACTTTTTAATAAATGTTTTCTCCTACAACATCAGAGTGCAGCGCCACATTAAATACGCACTACAATGACAATAGTTTAAAGCGATTTGAAGCATGTTTTATTTGGTGGGGGGGGGGCAGAGCTTTGTGACGTCATATTCGAGGGGGGGGTCTGACTTTTTGTGACGCCGTGTGACGAAGGGGGGGGAGGTCAAAATTTGTCCAAAATCGCTTGACGTCATTTATGGACGGCCCCTAAGGCCACACGCTGTGTCGCTAATTGACCAGCAGCATCGCAGCAACACAAATGTCGTTAGCGCGGCTGTGACTTGGTCCTTGCAGTCCTGCATACCCGCCACTGGATTGGTTCGTGGTGTACACGGTTAAACTTCTTTCGCACCGCCACCGCACGTGACCAACCGCGCCAATAGGATGTTGTTGCGCGGGGGTGGGATAGGGCAAGTAACTAACCTCAAACGAACGAACACCAAATCACAAAATCACTTTTTACAGAAATCACTTCTACAGAAGTGAGTTTTTTTTTTCATTCAAAATCACAAAATCACTTCTACAGAAATCACTTCTACAGAAGTGATTTTTTTTCCCCAACGCGGACTTAAAACAAGTGCTCATAGCTTCCGAATATCTGACAAGGAAGAACGTTCACCGACTGCTCGCTCGGGACGTGCACGGCACGCGCCCTGCGGGACCAATCGCGGGGAAGTCGCTGGGAATTCAAGCAACTTGGGTTGCGCAACCGATCGTCGCACCGGGCTCGTTGCGCGCAACTCCTCCCGCCACTGCCACCGCCGCGACTCGATGAGACGGCTCACCCCACGAGCGCAACGAACATTGTCGCCGTTTGTTCAGAGAGAGGAGAGGAGTCGTTAAAACCCATCAATAAAGGCCACCTCGTTCCCCGTTGTTTACCGGGGCGGAGTTGGAGCGGGGGGGGGGAGGTTTGGCTTGGAGGTGAGAGGGACTCAAAGGCACAGAGTGGCCTTGCCAGCCTACCTGGCCCATCCGGTTTGAGTCCGTATTTCTGTTTGCCCAAGGTTGGGGTGACCTCTGAGCGCAAATTAACTCCCAGAGCAGCAGGGAGAGGGAGGATTGATGGTGGCGCAAAATCCAGCGAAACGACACGTCACCTTTCTTGACATAGCAGCCAGCGTGTATATGTATCGTCCATGTGAATAGTACACGTGTCCTACCCTGCGTCCAAAATAAACATGACACGCAGCTTTGCTTATCCCTGTCAACAGACCAACAGGATTTTAGCCGACTTGTGTGCAGGTAACGTTTACATAGCAGCTCGCATTTATATTCATCCATAGGTAAACAGTGCTCGCAACTTGTACCTGTCCTGGCAGGTACACAGTCTATGTTGTATTACCTGTGCACAGGTGAATTTTACGTACAACGCTAGAGTGACGATTCGGGACAGGCCTTCAGCCAGCAGTGGATTGATCATGGCTGATGATGACAGCTGATATTGAGTTGCATACAGGTGTGGGGTGTTGAACTCGAGCGCAGGTAGATCGTATCCCTATGCGGGTAGAAAGTTAATGTGTAAACGTTAAATTTGCATAAGAGGTAGAATTTACATCTACAGGTGTCAATGTGACCATGTATGCCAACCGTGCTAATCGGAGGTGCGAGGAAAGGACGACAAAATGACACGCAAACAGTGGTTATGTCTGCAGGTACGCACGTGTGAACCTTGCACATCAGGTATATGTTTTACCTGGCTGAAAATATATCGTGTACGTGTGGCCTTGAGAGCCCGTACCCACAGATACACTGGACACGCGCATAGCTTGTATACCTGTACACAGCTGGCGCGTACACACACCTCGCTTGTTATTGTAGACAACACGTACTCGCGTGTCACAGGTGAACTCTGCTCACCTGTTGGGAGCCACCCCCCTCGCCTGCCTCCCACGTGCCTTGTGACTCTGAACAAAGAGTCCCCTGATGGGCGTGTTCATTGGGATGGATGTTCGTGTCAATTGATAAATTAATCCTGCCTCAACAAGTCCGGGACTGTTTCTGATATCACTTGTCCACTGATAACTGTGGCTGGGAATCGAACTCTTCACACACACACATCACAAAGACCCCCACCCCCACCACCTATAACCTGAACAAACTATTGGGGCAACTGCTGATAGGACCGGTTCAGATAATTGTTACTGGTGTTGACCCGAGCGCAGTGCACTAACCACTGCACCACCGCTCTCCTACACACACAGCGCACAACAAAGACAAAGATTCCCCCGTCGAGCCTTCAACAGACTTGGGGCAAGTGCTGTTAGCGAGAAGCACCTATGAAGGCTGGAACGTCACACGAGGGGGTGGGTGGGCCAGCACCTCGCCCACCGGCCGCCTTTGTCTCCCCGGTGGCGATGTTTACACACCGCACCAAGTCGGTATTTGAGGCTGAGTCGACCTAGGGGAGGCCCAGGACCGGTTCAGAATAATCGTCACTGGTGTCGACCATGAGCGGGAATCGAACCTATGGTCGCCGGGTTCGTAGCACCCACAAAAAAAACAAAGATCCCTCATATAGCCTTTGCAGACTGTAGGGGCAAGCGCTGTTAGCGAGCACCTATAAAGGCCGGCACGGCACACGAGCGGGTGGGTGGCCAACACCACGCACGGCCGCCTTTGTCTCCCTAGCAGCGATGTTTACACACCGCACCAGGTACTCATTTGAGGCTGAGTCGACCTAGGGGAGGCCCAGGACC